TTCAATAACCTCGTATTTTACGTGCAATCGAGTAAGTGCATGTTTGTCATATTTTATTTTTAGTTTCTCTTCATTTTAAAGTTAGAAATTTAGCCAAATATATTTTTATAAAAGCTTTTTGTAAAATAATAAATTCAACCAAAAATCTTATAAGGTGTTGAGTGACGGTCTTTTTAATAATTTATACTATTCTCTAACACACACCCTCATGCAAGAACTCTTTTGGCTTGAAGCGTGAATATTGCACATGCCCAATTTTTTATTTTACCTTGTGCTTATTTAATCCAATAAGTGAGGCGGTGAGGATCAAACTCGTGGTGGTCACTAAGGGTGTGCATGACAACCTTCCCTGAATCATTTTTTTTTCATTTTTGTTCCCGGGAACAGAAATGGGTAGAAAACTCGTTTGGTAAAATTAGTTTATTTTTTTGTTCCTGAGATGAACCAGTTTATTTTTTGTGCTGGAAAACAGAAAAAAAAAAATTCTATTTTTTTTGTTCCAGGGAACAAAATGAGAAACACTTGTCTCTCCCAATCACTCTTCACCTCTACCATCGTTGCCACCATCACCACCACCACCACCACTAACATCCCGACACGACCACTGCCATCATCGTCATACCACCATTGCCGTTGTCACCACAACCACCATCACCACCATCATGACGATGCCACCTCCACCTATCAACACCATCACTACCACCATGCCATCGTCACTGACACCACCATAACCACGCCACTGCCACCACCATCATCGCCACAACTACCACCACCGCCACCATCACCAACCACCACTACTTTGTCGCAATCACTGCCATCAACACCACCTCTACCACGCCACCACCACCACCACTGCCACCACTGTAACATCCCCGTCTCGAGCCGGTTCAATTAACATACACATGATATAAACAGAAACAGCGGAAGACTTAACTTACGAAAATATGAGCTAACTTTTTCTTTTTCTAACTTAATTCTTACTCGGCGTAAACGAAAATCGGGCAGAGTTTCCTCTATAAATCGGACAACTGGGGATTTTCCAATCCCACTCAGAAGCATTTCCTGATAAACAGTTTATACAACATATCAATTCAGAAATACCAGATATCCAAATATAATCAAATACCCATACATGGGCGCATGCATAACATGGCTCCGTGCCACTAAATCTAACAGCATGCCATCAAAACATAAACCTATCTGAATACTACATCATCATATAACGTTCCTGAATACTCAAATGTACATGCATCAAACTGACAGACATGTACAAAACATATACAGGCCATATACAAAATAAAGGATCAATATCATGATCCATCAAATGCGAAAATACTAAAATACATCAAACACTCCAAAAAGGTAGCAGCCTACAGCCACTCAAAATCCGGTCTGTCAACTGCCTCAGCCACGTGTCGTGTCCCTGCCTAGTGAGGACTCACCGGAAATCTGGGCACCTGAAAATGTGTCCCCAAAGAGGGGTGAGATTACAAATCTCAATAAGCTCCAGGTTTATAGAGAATTCTCCATACCCCTGGCTCACTCCTGCATGAAAGTCAGATACAGAGTATACAAATACAACATATAACAGATATCATAACAGAACAGAGAATATATCCATATCATATCAGAGATGTGCGCCGTCATTCCCAAGGGAGGACCCCAAGCGGAAATCAACGCACGTGTTCCCGAGGGAGGACCCCAAAGCGGAACCAGACATATCAGAGGAGTACACCATCAGTCCCGAGGGAGGACCCCAAAGCGGACGTCTGGGTACTATACAATCAATGGCCAGAGATTGTTACAGAAATCAAATTACAGAAGTCATATCAGAGCAAAACATATCATGTTATCAAATAACTCTATATGAATGCATCTATACAAAGCATCTAAATCACAGTCATACAGTCCAACCATAGTTCACTAACCATGGTGGAGCACTCAAGCAGGAAAAGACTCCTTAAACATAGAGCTTACCTCTTGAAGCTTTACCAATACGCTTACTTGTGGAACAAGTTACTTTTATCGCTTCAAGAGATTTCCGATCCTTCTCAATCCCTAGGCACACCTAGAGAATAATTTACAATGCATCAATAAAATGATGCAATACCATAATTATTTCATAAGCATACATTTTATCGCTTATTTTCCTTTCTTTGCATTTTTGCCAATCCTATGCCAATACACAAGTCTAGACCTCTTTATAACCGTTGGTGTTCTTTAATTTAATCAACCATTCTCTTAGGAATTTTCAACATAAATCATGCTATTTTTCTTCAAAACTCATCACCTTTATACAATTTATTACAACACATTTTATTTAAAATAAAATGTACAAAATATATCCCTAAATACCCTATAGGTCGAATCCTACAAGGGAAATTTCCAAAGATCCTTCTCTTTTACAATGCATTTTCGTTACTTCATTACAACTTGCAAACACCTAGGAATGCTTCCACTAAATTCCTATTTTGAGTTTAGACACCAAGTCCTTTTTACTTAGGCATTCTTACTAACTCATCCATTTTCACTCATTTCCAACACACTATACCTTCACAATACATAATATAATTTTTTCCACAATAACTCCTACTCACTCCATGATGGCCGAAACCTAGGAGGAATATGCAATAGGACTTTTAAATTTTTATATCACATGTGGATGCTTACTCAACACTATAACTTCCTAAACAACAATAATCCATCATAAATTTCACATTCTAACATCAATTATTTCCCAACAAAATATGCTCATCAATTTCATAACTTATATCATCAAAATAATATCATGGAAATAGAGGTTTCTTACCTCTAAACACTTGTACAAAGCCTAGAGAGCAATCTCCAAGCCAAGCTCCATCCAAAAACTCACTTTTTCTCCTCCAATGAATAGTAACTCGAAAATGAGAGGAGGAATAACTCTTCACACACTCAACTATAGCTCAAATGGATAGGTGGAATGGATTCATTGAGTGGTTTCCAATCAATTTCATGTGGTGGGTCATTGGATTTGATGGATGGATGATGAAGAAATCAAAGAAGGAAAATTTGAAACCCTAGCCCCTTCCCCTCCATGTGCAGCTCGGCCATGCAAGAGAGAGAAGAAGAAAATCTGAAATGAATAGTGTTTCATTTAAGTGACAAGGCTATATAGGCACATGTGGCCATTTTCATCGGATGTTTTTTTATCGCGTATTTTAACTTAAATTGACCCGGAACTAACTCAAAGCTACAAACATATTTTTATTTCCTAAAATCATTTACATTAATTTTTATTTCCTAAGGAACAATATTCATAATTCACAGTATGGTTTTTGCACCGTTTTTGACGAAATGCACTGTGCATCACTAATTGTACTTCCTTTACTTACGAAACTTAAAACTTATAAACTTATCATTTTCTTGGGCCTATATTGACTTGCTTGGCATATATTGGACTTTCTTATTCTTATTTCATCAATTATTTATTTCTGGACTCTACCGGTTGCTTAAACAGCAGTACAAAATACCCGGTAGAAACACTATTCACGAGATTTTCACGGAAAGTGCCAGACTATACAATTTTTCGTTCTGAACTCATATTTGTCATCAGAATTTTCAAATTATGTTCCTAAAATTATTTTGCTCATTTTAAGCTCTACCGGTTAATTCACAAAACTGTAAATTCTCCGGCAGAACGCACTGTTCATAACATAGTCATGATTACAGTCAAAATACTCGAAATCGCTCACTGAATCTAATTATGGCATTTAAATCCTTAAATTAAATCTCTAACTAAGATTTACCAGTTATGGTCATTATAACCACCACCACCATTGTCATAGCCACCGCCTCCACCACAACCACCGCCACCACCACGCCATATGGAAAGGAAAGTGATGATCCGAAATTTTTTTATGTTTAATAGAAATTATTTTTTATTATATTATTTGTTGTGTTATCAAACGCAATTCTCATTCTCGGAATAAAAATAGAACATGTTATCAAACATATTTTTTTTCTTATGTTCCAAGGCACAGAAATAGAAAAGAATGGAAGTAGATCTTCTTATGTTGAAAAAGACATGACATGGTTATGTGTGCAATCATAACCATGCAAATGTAGATCAATGGTGAAAAAAAAGGAGAAAGGAAAAATATTAAAATAGGTAGTTACTAAATCATAACCGTTGATTTACCGCTGTAAGCTTATGATTCTCCCTCGTGACCGTGTCATATTTTTTTTAAACATGAGAGGATCCATTTCCGAAAAGAATTGTTTCTTTTTATAAACAGTGCCAGGAAACATAATGGTGGTCATGCACACCCTAAACCTCTAATACCATATAAATAACCGATTCAACGTAAAACCTTAAGGTGATAAGTGATGGTCTTTTTAATGATTTATATTATTTTCTAACACTCAGATTATTTTATCTTCTCTCCTCCGAAATTATTAGAATAACTTTATATAATCAATAGACAGTTTTTTTTTTTTTTTAACTTTTAACTTTAAATAATATTTTTTTTAGGAAGGTTATACTAACAACTTTTTTTTACAACCTCTTACAATCATATCTTAATACCGTTGATTCCGCCAATCAATGGTTATTATTTTCGCAAATTAAACTCATTAATTAATTATTAATTCACAATAAATGATAACCGTTGATTGACAGAAATCAATGGTGTTAAGATATGGTTGTAAAAGGTTCTTTAAAAAAAAAAAATTGTAAGTATAACTTTGCTTTTTTTTTTTATATATATATATATTTAGTAAAAAATTGTACATACTCCCCTAGCCTGGAAATATTTTTCCACTCAAAGCGTTAAGGAAATATTGTATCAAATAATGAACTTGGTAGCTTCTGTCTTGTTTCTGGCAACTACTAAGTCAACAGATGGTATGAATGGCATGTTTTGGTCAATCTTAAGGTGTGCACCCCTCCCTTTACATATATTACTCTAAATAGAATATCCTTCTCGCTTCTGTATCCATAGCGTATTGCAAATTTGATTGTGATGGCACAAGGAGCACGAGCACAGTCTTCTTCTCCTATTACCTATGAATATGAATATGAATATGATGTATTTCTCAGTTTTCGTGGTGAAGATACCCGCTACGGCTTTACTGGCAATCTTTATAGTGCTCTGAGTCAACGGGGAGTCTTGACCTTCATGGATGATCATGATCTAAAAAAAGGGGAAAAGATTACAACTGCTCTGCTCCGTGCAATTCAAAAGTCCAGGATGACCATCGTTATTTTGTCTAAAAGCTACGCATCCTCAACATTTTGTTTGAACGAACTTGTGGAGATCCTTGAGTGTTATACAGAACAAAACATGTCGATTTGGCCAGTTTTCTATGATGTAGATCCATCAGATGTGCGACATCAAACAGGGAGTTATGGAGAAGCATTCACAAAGCACGAACGGGGAAGATTCAGGGATGACAGCGAGAAGTTGAAAAAATGGAAGTTGGCTTTGAATCAAGTAGCTGATTTCGGTGGTTCCCATTACAACCATGGGTAACACACTTCAACTTGTTTCTTCCAATTCAGTTTATTGTTTCATGTTTGGTTGACGCTTTTCATTATGTATCAACTAGTATACAACCTATACTATTTACTAAGGTAATATTTAGTATAAGACACTAATCACTTTGATGTGCCAAAAACTATACGAATAGTACATTAGTCGTTACTTGTAAGAGGAAATTCACCCTGAATTTTATCTCACTTTTATGAATGACAGGGTCTATGAGCATGTGCTCATTAGAGAAATTATAAAAGAGGTCTCCCGTAAGATTAAGCGACCTCTCTTGCATATTGCTGTTTACCCTGTTGGATTGGATGCTCGAATAAAAGGTGTACTGTTGCTTATAGGCGCTGGCTTTAATAAGAAATTCAACATGATCGGTATTCATGGGACTGGTGGAATAGGCAAATCAGCCATTGCACGTGCTGTATATAATTTGATAGCATCTCAATTTGAAGGTTCATGCTTTATTGCTGATGTTAGAGAATTAACGTCTAGACACGGATTAGAAAAGATCCAAGCGACAATGCTTTCTCAACTAATTGGGGGGAGAAATTTCGAGTTAGAAAGTTTGAATCAAGGGATTCCAATATTAAAAGAACGAAAGAAAGTCCTTCTTATTCTTGATGATGTTGACAACATGGATCAATTACAAGCAATTGAGGGAGGACTTGATTGGTTTGCTCCTGGTAGCGTCATCATTATAACAACAAGGCACAAGCATTTGTTAGATAGCCATGATGTTAAAAAATATGAGGTTAAAAATCTGAATCATACTGAAGCTCTTGAATTGTTTAGGTGGAAAGCTTTAAAAAATAGTGAAGCTGGCCTTTACATGGAAATCACAAAGCGTCCAATACCTTACGCCGGTGGCCTTCCTTTGGCTTTGGAAACGATAGGCTCAAACTTGTTTGGTAAAACATTAGATGAATGGAATTATGCATTAGAAGCATATGAAAGAATTCCAATTGAAGAAGATGTTGATAAAATTCTTGAAGTTAGCTATGATGGCTTGGGGGAAAATGAAAAGGAGATTTTTCTTGACATAGCTTGCTTCTTCAAAGGATGCACTCTAAGATATGTTACAAATATGCTACATGCTCGTCTTGGTTTTCCCCCACAAGATGGTATTCGAGTGCTGCAAAAAAAATCCCTCATTAACATTTGGAGATCCAATGGTGAAATTATTGTAACAATGCATAACTTGATTCAACATATGGGAAAAGAAATAGTTAGAAAGCAATCAACTTCCTTTGAAGGACGTAATAGGTTGTGGTTTCATGAGGACGTTGTTTGCATTTTGGAGAAATACAAGGTATGTATGATTCCTCTACCTTGTGTTTTTGCATTTCTTTCTGTATATCATTAGTTGCATCATTCTTAGCCCTTACTAATCAGCACCAATACAAGCATTTAAAATTTTTGAATTGCTCTAAATTCTTATATTTCATGCTTCTTACCCCTTATTAATTAGCACCCTTACGTAATTTTATGCATTGTGGTTCGCTTTTGCTTTTGGTTTAAAAGGAAAATGATGAAATTAAAGCCATGATGTTGGATATGCCTGAAGATAAACTTCAATTCAAGGAAGATGTGTTCGGAAAGATGAAAAACCTCATGATGCTTATAAAAAAGGAAGTTGGTTTTGCCAGTTGCTTCGAACATCTCCCAAAAAGTTTGAGAGTGTTGGAATGGTGGAGACATCCTGCAGCTTCTTTACCATCTGTTCTTCATAACCTTGTCATACTCAACTTGTCATACAGTCGTTGCTTTCAATGGGACAAATCATTACAGGCACGTAAAATTATTTATATTGTAATATTTTTTTCGGTAAACATGCTACCCTTAATTCTTGAAACTATTAATTTAGACTTAATTTTGCAGATGTCAGAGGTTTTGAATCAGTTGATCTTCACGGGTTGTAAGTGCTTACAAGAAATACCTGATGTGTCTGGTCTCCCAAATCTGAAAGAATTGTGTGTTGATGATTGCACAAGTTTGATTGAGATTGATGATTCTGTTGGACTTCTTGTTAATCTCCAAAGGTTCAGTGCTAAAGGGTGTACCCAGCTTAAGAAATTTCCGCACAGCATAAAGTGGAAATCTCTGGAATACCTTTGTCTTCAGGACTGCGAGAGTCTTGATAATTTCCCAGAAATAAAAGAACCAATGGAAAAGCTGAAATTCCTTGACTTGGAAGGAACTGCTTTGAAAAATCTGCTACCTTCAGTGAAATTCCTTAAAGGCCTTCGAAGGTTACACCTGAGCAGATGCAAAATGCCTGAAAATAATGTGCTATCCGAAATTGTTCAAAATTTGCCAAATTTCTTTCCCGAATTGAAAACAGTGAGATTAGGAGACTCAAATTTGACAATCCTTCCTGCATGCATTAATGAATGTCAAAATTTGAAAAGGCTAGACTTGTCTAATTCCAAGCAGCTTGGAGAAATTGGAGGGCTTCCACCAAACATAGTTGAATTTGTGGCAAATAACTGCACGTTACTGAAAGATGATTGTTCAACTTTAAACAAGTTGATAAAGAGTCAGGTTGGTCGCTCTCTATCTTGTGATTGTATCATTTATTTAGCTATTTTACAAACTCACTATGCTTTTAATGACATGGCTGACAGGTAATTCATTCTAGAATACAATTCTATGTTCTGCCAGGGCAAACGATCCCAGAATGGTTTGACCACACTAGCAAGGGACACTCTCTATGTTTCTGGTTTCGTAAGGAATTCCCTTGCCTCACTGTGTCTGCTGTTTTAGGAGTTGTAGATAATACTGAGCATCCTTTCGATGTGCACTTTAAGTTCTGTTTTAAGATCAATGATATTGACATGCCTTTGTTTAATTATAAGAACAATTTAGAGGGTGATCACATAGTTATATTTAACTATATTACTAATCCAATGGATTTGGATCATGGAGGACTACTTTCAGAGAATGAGTGGAATTATGGGGAGGTTTTATTTGTGATAAAACCCGATTCACCCGATTCTGGTAGTTCAGGATCAATCCAACGGATCGGAGTTCTTGTGAACCAGACATTTATCAGTAAAGGGCATGTTAGATTCACAAATCCTTATCCTTCCAAAATTACATGTGATGACAAGGGAAACCAGCTTAGGTTGTGTAAGGCAGATGATAAACAACAGCAGCAACAACAATTAGCTTCTTTCAACCGCTCAATCCCAATGAGCTATGAAATGGGGGAACAACCTTTGAGTTATGAGTTGTGCAATTCAGATTCACTGGAACCAGCGTGGCCAATTGACGGCTCCAACAACACAGGTAAAGCGTCTTTTGTCCTTGCTCTCTCTCTGCCTGTTTGCTCTACTCAGTTCTACTTGTATCATATGATTGTTTTGCTTCGGTCAATAATATATCATACTCACATCTCACTAGCAAAGTTAATGCACTTTCACATTGCCCTACCATGAATCAATCTCTGATCATTCATGGACCAGATGGAGCATTCCTTGATCATCAAGCAAAAGATGCAGGAGAATCATCTCAAGTGCAAAGATCCACTTCAACAAGTGGCCAAGTTGGACCAAAACTGCCCCTAGGAACCAGTTTGACTATGTTGCCAAAAACAATTGATGCGTCTTTAACAAATCAAACTGAACTAACTCTAGTTGATGATGTAGAAATGGAAGCATTTTATGTTTCTCTTGATGCTGAGACCCGGGTTGTTTCAAGTGAAGAGGCCAGCAAAGCTAGGAGAATAGTACACGACTTCATCTCCAATAATGATGCTTCTATTATGTTGCATCCTGAACGGTGCAGCGTCATGAAAACCAGTTTAGAGAACCTCTCCAATTTGTCTGCAGACCATGGTATATCAAGAGAAATGAGAACACTGTTATCAGAAGCTTCAAGGGAGTACACGCATTTTAGGAGGGACTACATTGAAGCAAGTATGAAAATTGCGTCCACATCATTCGATTTGCAGAGAGCTGATGAATTAGAAATAGGTCTTGAACTTAACAAGAAAAGGTTCTGTGAAGAGTTGGCCTCAGAACATGAGCTGATTAAAAAGTTAGCCAGAATGGAGGAAAGCAAAAGGAAGCTAGAAGAGAAAATCAATGTCATTAAAGCTAACATCTCCGCTTCTCAATCAGAAAAGGAGAACATTCTTAACAGAAAGAGAGATATCTTCAAAGAAGGAAAGGCACTTCAAACTCAAAGAGATGAGTTGAGGGAAAAAGCACCTAGTTTGAAATACGAGCATGGTTTTGCCAAGGAAACACAATCAAGAATGAATTCTGAATGGTCTGAACTCAGAGAAAAACTTAAGAAGATTGCTGAAGAGTGAGATTTATTGTAATTCAGGTAGAATGTTGACTGTAGACTATAACCCCTAGAATATTATATATGAAAACCTCGACCAGAGAGGGTGAAGTGTGGAGTGAGTGAGGGCAATGCAAATAAAATTTTGAACTAAAATTATTTCCGTTTGTAATTTATGTTGCATTTGGTCTCATTTTCAATATATATTGTGCTGCTATAATAAAAATTCTGCAACCCCAAAAAAAAAATCTGAGTTGAAGTCACCAAATATAGCGTCTGGCGCGGTCGAGAAGGAGTCTGTGGCGGGTAATCACTAACAATGGGCTAAATTAGGCCAAGCACATCAAGTGGATCTGACACTATGTCTTAACCCAAAACCTTAATTGGGTTCATGAATTCTCTCACTTATATATACTTCACTTAGCTTATTATCAACCAATGTGGGATTCATCACACTTAAATTTATCAACAATACTTTTAAGGTTTTGGATTAAGACATGGTGTCAGATCCACTTGGAGTTGTTGGCCTAGCTTAGCCCATTGGTGGTGGTTCCTTGTCACGGCTCCTCCTGGGCCCGCCTGACAATGATATTAGAGATTTGGTTTTGCGATTAGGGTTCCTATGATAGATTGGGGTTTCACGATTTGAGGTGTTTTCTTGGCATAGAGAAAACTACGAAATTGATCTAGAGAGGATGTCGACTGACCAATCATGGATCGAGGTTGAAAAGTTCGCAGGAAAAGAGTTCGAGTTATGGAAACTGAATATGGAGACTTTTGATGCGAAATCGGCAAGTATACCGATCGTTCCAAGTAATAAAGTGATAAGAAGATCGTTCCCTCGAGGATTAATGCACCAATTACTATTTTAACTAGTCCCCTTAATTTGGAAAACCCAGTTTAATTCAGAAAATATTTGTTGACTGAAATTTAAAGACAATAATAATCAAAAGCATTCAAGAAAATATAAGAACGTCAAAGAAAATATGAGTAATTAAGATTGTAAAAGAAATTGCAGTCAGGATGCACTTCACCTCCGATTCCCTCTTATAATTCTAAATTGAATTTTATAACCAACTAATTTATTAGCTCAGACAATTCATTATTTTCCTATTGAATAGTTGAACCCTAATGTCTTAGTGTATTCAACCCTTTAACCCAACAGAATCCTAGTGTCCTAGTAATTCCTTTTGAATCAAGCATTAAGCAAATGAATTTAAAAGTCTACAATCTATGTAAGCTTATGTCTAGATCATGCACAGATTGTTATTCTACCCTTGTCAGAATTAAAACTCTAATATTCCTATTGTGAGCTCTAACCCTCAAAACCCTATAATAGAGCGATCAATTCTAAAAAGGATGTGGAAGAATTCACGCAGGTAGAATTAAACTAAATAAATTAAATTAATTATAAAAACAATTTAGAAATTATAAAGGATTCACATTGGATCCGTGGTCCCAACTACAAAGAGAAATTAGCCAGACATATATGACTTTAACAAATTAAAATAAAAAGAATTCACAAAAGAATGAAAAAGAAGAAGAAGACGAAGAAGAAATCTTGAGTCTTTAGTTTCTCTGAGTGTTGATCTTTAGCATAAAATCTCCAAGAGCCCTCTCTCTGTTGTGTTTTCTGTAATTTCTCTATGCCAAAAGGTGATTTCTTAAGGGTGCTTAGTCTCTTTTTATAGACTTTGTTCCCTTGTTTTGAAATCCTTATCATATTTTCCATTTAAGATCTCCTCCAGATACCCTCTGATGTAGGATTTAAAATTGTCACATGCTTCCCGCCAAATTGGCGCTGCTAGTATGGGAATTTTGATTGGAGGCAGTAGCTTCGCGCTACTAGCGTGAATCTCTCGCTGATAGCGCGGTTGCACTGTGTTGAAAGATGATGTTGGCGCTGATAGCGCCAGTGCGGTGGATCAAATCTTGTGTTTTTCTGTGCTGCTTAATTGGGCCCCTTTCTTGTACTTTTTCCTACAAAAATATAAGAAACTCATTGATAAGATACTTGATTAGGATTTATCAATTAATTGGCAATTATGGGCCTTTTCATTCAAGATTGATTAAGATTTCTTGCTCTTTTTGGCTCAAAATAACATATATGCTCGAGGCATATCAAACAATTCCCAGATTTAGACGTTGTTGTCCTCATCAATGAACTAGATCAAAAGAGAAGCAAGGATTAACTTTGTGGAGGGAAAATATGGAACACAAACATCTTAAGAGATCAGAATGCTATGCATGTATAACTTCACTATTGAGAACTCCGAACAATGCTTTTCAGTTTTATCAAGAAATTCAGATCATAACTTGAATGTTCCTCACTAGATATATATGTAACTCTCATCACTCTAGTGTTTGAAGTTTTCAACACTCATTCCATCAGTGTAGTAGTAATTCCATAAGATTGATCATATTCTCAGGTTCCTAAGATTGAGGAACACATTTGACATGCATAAACTGATCCAAAGGTCTTGAAGGGTTGTAACTTGGCCTGGTTTGGGGGTAAGAATCTTTTGGACAGAGGCTGATTAATATTTGAGACTGAAATGCTGAGATTTCTGACAATACTTTCTTCTCAATTCATAATTCTGCCACTTTTTGTCAATTCAGGATTCTTATTCCCTTTTTACTACCTCTTTCTTTCCTTATTTGCAGATGTTTTTTTTTTTCTTTTGAATTGCATTTTTGCAGACCATTCTTCTTTTTCATTTTTCCATTTACTTAACTTTTCATTGAGACATACCTTGACTCTTCCTTTGATCAGCATTTCAATCACTTTCAAGGTGTGTCAAATGGAACAAGGTTAAATAACTTTCATCAGGTTTTTGAATCAATTGGTCTAAGGCTCAAAAGGGCTAACAATGAAAAATTCCTTCTAGGTAGGCTATTTGGCTCAAAGTTAACAAGAATAAATGTGCCTTTATAATATCGGTAAATGTATGCAAACTAGAGAAACAGATCAAGTTGTAGAAGACTACTACAGTGAGGTCTCTCTGAAGAAATTTCCTGTTTAGGCTCAATCCTCACAAATATAATTTCAAGCTAGAATCTAATTTCAAAATTTCACATCAAGCATTATCTAAAAATTCCTCACCAAAGAAGTTATACAAACGAGCACTCATTACTCTCAGATTATGGCAGTAATTTGATGCTCCACAGATATCACATGTGCTTCTTATTTAACTACTAAGTAAGCTTTTGCAAATCCAGGAATGCTTGTTCAGGAATTTATTAAAAATTAAAATAAAAAAATAAAAAAAATGAAATAAAAAGAAAGATTAAAGTATCTCCCCTTTTTAACAGAATTTTTTTCTTTTAGACGTCTCTGTTGTGTAATTCTACAGTTAGCAGTTATCGCATATGATATGCGCCCCAATTCTCAGATTTAAAATCTTGATGTCCTCAGCAATAAACTAAACTAGTTGAGTGAAGCTACTTCTGCGCAGGTGGAACACACACATACACTTGTTAAACGTCAACCAGAATAATCATAATAGTAAAATGTATTAAGAGACATAACCAAATCAAAATATCAAAACAGCAAAATAAAGAAAATACTAAAGTCAAGGTAAATGGTGAAGTGTGTGAGATAGGATGAAAAATCTAAAGATCCTCCATGGTAGCATCTGCATCATCTGCTGCTGTAGCAGTAGGCTCATCCTACTCCGGAGGTGACGAAGGTGGTGACACCGGTAGCCTGAAACTCGCAGTATCAATCCCTCGATCACTGCATAGCCTCTCGAGCATCAACATCAAGTACTCGCCCTGAACTGTCAATCTCTGGATCTGACGCTGCATAGCGCGGAAGGCAAGCGAATCCTCATAGTGTAACGCAGCTGGTGCTGGAGATGGTGGATGTGGTGGTGAAGGTGCAGCAGGATCTCCTATCTGTGGACTCGGTGGTGCTGGTGCTTCTTCTGGCCCATGTGAAGCTCTCTAAAGCGCCTGCCGCTTAGACTCATTGCTCAGTGCTGTCACATGCTTATGGTTCATGGGTTCTGGAACCGGCACATCCAGTGGCTCCTCATCGGGTATCTCCACTCCGTCCTGCAAGCATAGCTGTGTAATCAATGAGCTATGTGCAAGGCGGGCATCGGGCCTCCTATGAGTGATGATGTAAACTATCCTATCAGATAGGATGGCTGCAATGTTGAGATTTTCTTCCCCATAAGGATATACAGCAACACAACTTTCTCAACATTCACATCACTCAGATTAGTTGAGGCAATGATGGTGGAGTTAATAAAAGTATACCAGACGATCGCCTCCCCATTCAGATCCAGCCTCTCTAATTTTTCTGGCACCTCGGGCTGCCCACTTTTGACTTTCCATGCAGAATGTGGATGGGTAATTGCAGTCCTAATACTTTCAGCTAATTCAGGCATGTCCTCTCTATATAGAGATTTTCCCTCAGTGGGCTGCAGCTTGTTGAAGGTTTGCATAAATTGGCATCTCTTGGTTGGATCATATGTGGTTTAAAGGAAGCTCTCTATTGCAGCGACATCAAATAGGACTTCCTTCCCTCTCACCCAGCTCTTCCTGGTCTCCCCTACCTTCTCCTTATCAGCATTCGCACAAAATTCCTTCAAAATTGTGCTGGAGCTAGGTTCAGGGAATGACACTAAGGTATGCCATTTTCTTCTCTCTATGGTTCGCCAGACTGGGCAATCCAACCCTAATGTCTGGCTGATGGGTCTTTCCGGTATAATCTTCCTCGACATGAACCATTTGACATACCGGTCCTGATGAGCAGCTGAAAGGAACCGGTTGTTGTCAAACTCAGAAGAGACCCTAGGCCTCTTAGTGCCAGATGCACTGCCAGTTTCCCTGCCCCCAGTGGTGGTTCCTTTGTTGGTCTTTTTCACCTGTTTTCCCTGCATTCAGAAAGTACCAACTAGAAAAATACCAATAATCAGAATGTGGTTTGTGAATACTGTGGAAAGGTACAATTAACTCACTGTGTATCCTTGTGAAAGCCTTTGGGAAAGTCCCTCATTTACCTTTATTCTGATTATTTTTATGGAAGGAGTTAATTGGGATATACCACATTGCATTTCCAACTGAACTCATGATATGTTTGACCACATAATTCAGATGAAGATATCATGAAGTGTTACTTTATTGCTCCATAACACACATTTATTTCTAACCACACATCCTCATATCATATTTGGAACCCCTAATTGTGATGTTGTATTAGAATTCACCAATACTCCCTTAATTAATCCCATCATCATATTCATAAACCATTAAGCTCATTTCACAAATATGTTTCCATTATAAGGTAATACAATTCTAATCCACAAAAACTTGTATTTAATCTAAAAGCCAATTGAAAATGCCAGGGTATGTGTGATCAGAATATCATGGAAACAACAATCATGGAAACAACAGTCATGAATTTCACATGTGCTTACTGCTTAGCCAAATTGGAGTAATGCAATCAAAGCTATCAACAGACAATAAGCTCCTTTCATGCCACTTGACTTGTAATTCAGGAAATCAGTAACCATCGTTCTATAGCTGTCAACTTACTCTAACAAACCAATCATCAAACATCTAGCATGCATGAGTAAAAATTGGTCATGACTTCAACATCCGATACAATTATTCTCTCTACATGCCAGGTATAATGTTCCAACAAAATTGTGATAGCCACAGTAGTAACATACAGAGTAAAGCTTACCTTGTCGCCTGCCATGGATGCACTTGAAGACTTAAAAATTGAAAACCTTATTTCCTTGTAGTAAGAACACCAAATTTATGACTCACGGTGGTTTCGAGGAATCGGAGGTGATGGGTTTTCGGATTAGAGATAAGCAAAGGGAGAATGGGTGAGGTGGTGGTCAGTGGTTAGGGTTGTTTTTAATCGGTAGTTTTATGGATGGGGATTTTGTTGTGAAGAGGAAGGATGGGAATAGTGGTGAGGCTTGGTGGAGGTAGGAGTTGGCTTTGAGGTTCGACGGTGGGGTTATGGTAGTTAAAGGGTAGGGAAGGAAGAAGGAGGAGTATAGTGGTATTGGCGGTGGTTAGGGTTGTTCAGAAAGGAGAGGGAGCGAGAGAGAGGGCGAGAAGAATGGGGGTTTGGCTGAAAAGAAAATTGGGGGGGGGGGAATTAGGGTTCTGAAATTTTAATTTCAAAATTTTTACCCTGGCGCTGACAGCGTGGAGCCACTGTGAAGTTTGGACATCCTGGCGCTTTTAGCTCGAATTTCGCGCTTATAGCGCGAATATTTTCTGGGATTCTGGCACTCTAAGCGTGAACTTACTGTGAAATTTGGAATTTCTAGCGCTGACAGCGCCATTTTCGCATTGTTAGCGCGAATTGCTCGATCATGAAGTATTTGGCACTGATAGCGCCAGTTTCGCGCTGTTAGCGAACTTACTGCCTCTTTTTAGCCTTGTGACGCAACTAGCGCCCAGTTGGCACTAATTGCACCAATTCCCAGATTTAAAATTTTTCCTGTGGTGATTTGCTTCACCATTTACCTTGTTGAAATTTAAACTAACCTAATCAAAATAAAATAAATAAAACAGAAAATGACTATTGGGTTGCCTCCCAACTAGCACTTGTTTAACGTTACGAGCCTGACACGAACAATCTAAGTTTCAGGTGAAGCCAAAGGGACAGAAACCTTATCCCTATTCACCTGTCCTCCATAGTACAATTTCAACCTACAACCATTAACTTTGAAAGGATTTTCAGTGTCAATAGGTGAAATTTCTACAGTATTGTAAGGAAATACCTTTTTCATTACAAAAGGTCCTGACCAGCGGGATTTGAGTTTACCTGGAAACAACCTCAGTCGAGAATTGTACAATAATACCTGTTGTCCCGGCTCAAACTCCTTTGGAACTATCTTCTTGTCACGCCACCTCTTTGTCTTCTCCTTGTATATCCTGGCATTCTCATAAGTAGCTAACCCGAACTCATCCAACTCATGTAATTGCAATAATCATTTTTCATTAGCTTTAGTTGGTTCAAAATTCAGAAATTTAGTTGCCCACATTGTTTTATGCTCTAATTCAACCGGGAGATGATAGGACTTACCGTATATCAGTTGAAAGGTGACATACCTATGGGTGTCTTGAAGGCTGTTCTGTATGCCCAGAGTGCATCATCAAGCTTCCTTGCCCAATCCTTTCTTGAACTTCCTATAGTCTTCTCCAGGATTCTCTTTAACTCTCTGTTGGAAATCTCCACTTGACTGCTTGTCTGAGGATGATATGGCGTAGCCACCTTGTGTGTGACTCCATACTTCGTGAGAAGGCTTTCGAACTGCTTATTGCAAAAGTGGGTCCCTTCGTCACTGATGATAGCTCTTGGAACTCCAAATCAAGTGAAGATGTTCTTCCGCAGGAAAGACACAACCACCTTAGCATCATTTGTCGGTAGGGCTACTGCTTCCACCCACTTGGACATGTAGTCCACAGCTACTAAGATGTATTAGTTGGAATATGATTTGGGAAATGGTCCCATGAAATCAATTCCCCATACATCGAATACTTCCACTTCTAGAATGCAGTTCAGTGGCATCTCATCCCTTCAAGAAATGTTCCCCGTCCTCTGACATCTGTCACACTTCTCTACGAACTCTTTCGCATCTTTGAATATTGTGGGCTAGTAGAAGCCACTTTGTAAAACCTTATGTGCGGTTCTATTCCCTCCAAAATGTTCTCCATAGTCAGATGCATGACAATGCCACAGGATCTTTGGAATTTCAAACTCAGCTACACACCTGCGAATAATTCTGTCAGCATATTGAAAATATAAGAATGAGTTATCCCAGTGGTACCTCATTGCATCATGCAAAAACTTCTTTTTCTGTTGCCAGGTGAGGTCTTCAGGAAGTGACCCTACAGCTTTGTAATTCGCAAATTCTGCGAACCATGGTTCAATGAGGACTGCCATCACTTGTTCATCAGGTAAGGATTCTTTGATCTCAAATTCAGGTCCATCTTGCAGTTCATTATCTTGAATCCTTGACAAGTGATCAGCTACCTTGTTCTCAACTCCCTTCTTGTCTCGAATCTCTAAGTCAAACTCCTGGAAAAGAAGCATCCAACGCAGCAGCTGTGGCTTTGCATCCTGTTTACTCATTAGATACTTTAAAGCAGCATGGTCAGTAAAAACAATAATTTTAGAACCTATCAAATAAGGTCTAAACTTGTCTCATGCATAAACTACTGCTAACATTTCTTTTTCAGTTGTGGCATAGTTAACTTGTGCCTCATTTAAAACCTTGCTAGCATAATAAATTACATGTAATAATTTATCCTTACACTGACTAAGACCATCTCCTATTACGTATGCACTCGCATCATACATGAGCTCAAATGGGAGATCCTAATCAGGCGCCATCAGAACAGGCGCGGTTGTCAGTTTTTCCTTCAAAACGTTAAAGGCATTCAATCACTCTTCATTAAAGATAAAGTCAGTATCTTTCACCAAGAGTTGACTCAAAGGCTTTGCAATTTTGGAGAAGTCTTTGATGAATCTTCTGTAGAAACCTACATGGCCTAAGAAACTTCGAACACCATTAACGTTATCGGGAGGGGGAAGTTTTTCAATCAATAACAGTTTAGCTTTATCAACTTTTATCCCTTTCTCAGAAATCTTATGGCCTAACACTATTCTATCTTTTACCATGAAATGACATTTTTCCCAGTTTAAAACCAAATTTGTTTCTTGACAATGTTTCAATACTTTAGAAAGATTAACTAAACATGAATCAAAGCAAGAACCAAATATAGAAAAGTCATCCATGAATACCTCTAAGGATTTTTCAATTATATCAGAAAAGATGGAAAGCATGCACCTTTGAAAAGTAGCAGGTGCATTGCAGAGGCCAAACGACATTCTTCTGTAGGAAAACACTCCAAAGGGGCAAGTGAATGTTGTTTTCTCTTGATCCTCTGGTTCCACAGGTATCTGATTGTAGCCAGAGTAATCATCTAAGAAACAATAATACGCATGTCCGGACAATCTCTCCAGCATCTGATCAATGAAAAGGAGAGGAAAGTGATTTTTCCGTGTGGCATCATTTAGTCTTCTGCAATCCACACACATTCTCCTCCCAGTTATGGTTCTGGTGGGAATCAGCTCAATGCTCTCATTCTTGATCACTGTAACTCCATCTTTCTTTGGCACTGTTTGAACTGAACTCACCCATGCAGTGTCTGAGATTGGGTAAATCATGCTTGCATCAAGAAGCTTAACCACTTCCTTCCGAACCACTTCTTTTATTGTGGAGTTGAGTCGTCTCTGAGGCTGCCTCACAGGTTTGATGTTGTCTTCCATAGGGATTTGTGAGTATAGAAGAAAAGATTAATTCCTTTTAAATCAAATATGGACCACCCTATGGTTGTCTGGTGGTCCTTGAGCACTTTCATCAACTTAGTTTCTTCAGAATAAGACAGCTCTTTGTTGATGATCACAGGATATGTCGCTGCTTCTCCTAAGAAAATGTACTTAAGAGTATATGGCAGCTCTTTTAACTCCACCTTTGGTAATCCAACTGTGATGTCCGACTCATTCTTCTTCAACTCTTCCATTGGAACTTCAGAATTTTCCTTTGGAGGGTTCTCATCAAAGAACTTCGTCTCGTCTTCTAGAGTCTGGCCATCATCTTTCTTGTCGAGGAACAACTCCTCTAAATGTCCACCCGGAAGCAGTCGTTATTATCATTAGCATGCTTTATAACATCAAAAACATTAATGGTCACCTTTTCGTCATCCATTCTCAGCTCTAACTTTCATTTTTCCACGTCAATCATGGCTCTGGCTGTGGCAAGGAACGACCTGCCCAAGAGAAGGGGCATATCTTCTTCTTTTTCCATGTCTAGGACTACCAAGTCTGCAAGGAAGATGAACTTATCAACTTTGACAAGCACGTCTTCAATTACTCTGTTTGGTCTTCTCAGAGACCTATCAGCAAGTTGGAGAGACACCATAGTGGGCTTTAGCTCGGAAATTCCTAGAGACTTCATCACTGATAGCGGCATGAGGTTGATGCTTGCTCCAAGATCGCGCAATGCCCGACCAACATTAATGTTGCCTATTGCAATCGGGATGTTGAAACTCCCTGGATCTCGAAGCTTTGGTGGAAACTTCTTCTGAATAATGGCACTGCACTCCTCTGTGAGAGCCACTGTTTCAAATTCCTGCAATTTATGCTTTCTACACAAAAGATCTTTCATAAACTTAGCATAATTAGGCATGTTAGCTAAAGCTTCAGCAAAGGGAATATTAATTTGCAACATTTTAAACATTTCTAAAAACCTGGCATGTTGTTGCTTCTGTTCTTGTTGCTTTGACCTCATATGATATGGGGATTTCTCAAAGCGAGAGAAATCACATTGCTTCTTTGGAGTTTCTGCAACTTTCTCCTTTGCTTCTCCCTTGTCTTTTTGAGCTGGCTCTTCTTTTTAACTTGCAGGTATTTCCTCCTCTTTTTCTTACTCTACCTCTTTTACTGGTTCATCAGCTTTCTTTTTCTGAACCACTTTTGGTTTTTCTTGCGGAGTAATCATAATTCCGCTCCTTGTGGTGATTGCTTTGCAGTGTTCTCGCGGATTGACTATGGTATCGCTTGGAAATTGGCCTTAAGTCCTCTCTGCTAGTTGTCTTGATAGTTGGCCGATATGGTTTTCCAAGTTCCTGAGAGATGCATCTTGATTCTTGTGATGAGACCTCGTCTCATTCATGAATGTGTAAGTTGTCTTCGTCAACTGTATCAGTGCTCTCTCTATTTCAGATGGTTGAGTTTGTGGAATTGGAGGAGGTTGTAAGTATTAGTTTGATTTGTAATCAAGACCTCCTTGATTCTTCAATCTGGAGTTAAAATAGTTCCCCACAATGTTGTTCTGATTTCTTGGAGGATTTTGTTGAGTCCTCTGATCATACCAGATCCCATTGACTTGGATCGGTTTTGATCCCATGAGTACGTTGCACTTATTGGTTTCATGTTCTCCGCGACAGTAATATCAGGAGAGTGTCTTTGCTTGATCTGATGAAGGATGAAGCTTTTCGAACTTGCTATTTAAAATAGCCACCTGTTGTGAAAGCAGCTTCTGTTCGGCTAGCATGGCATCATTGCCTTCTAATTGAAGGACTCATCTCTTCGGCTGAGCTGCTATACTCTCATTCTCCATCCTCGCCATGGACTCAATCAACTCAAGAGTTTGAGTCGGTGTCTTTTGTCTGATTGAACCTCCAGCTGCACCATTGACCACCATTCTTGAAGATGGTGTCATCCCATTGAAGAAAATTCGAACTTTTTCTCCAGGTCGTAGCTCGTATTGAGAACGCTTTCTCAGAAGCTCCTAGAATCTCCTCCAGGCTGCACATGAAGTTTCTCCATTAGATTGGATGAAATTGGTGATTTCATTCACCAGCCTATTATACTTCGTCATTGGGAATAATTGAGCTAAGAACTTTGCATCTAAATCTTCCCATGTGCTGATGTTGGTTGCTGCTCCAGCCATCTGAGTTCTCTGTCTGTCACCGCAAATGGAAACAAACGCAGTCGTAGTGCATCTTCTGACACCCCGTTGTTCTTGAAAGTATCACAGATCATCAAGAAACTCACGAGGATCTTCAGTATCCTCTCCTTTGAACTGAGATCGCTCAATCAGGGTGACTAACGTCGGCTTGATTTCTAAGTTATTAGTCGCGATCGTTGGTCTCGCGATACTCGAGTTTCATCTTGTGAAGTTAGAGTAAGGATTGACTCCATCAACTCCTCTTCATTTTGTGGTAGATTATTTCCAGCCATCTCGGGTTCTGCTTTTGGCTCTGAACTTGAGGATTCCACTTGCTTCATTTGCTTAGCGAGTTTCCTGTTCTTCTTTGCAGTCTTCTCGATTTCTAGATCAAACTGTAGAGATTCACGATTGACTCTACCTCGTATAAAAGAGAGAAATCAAATTAGTAAAAATAAAAAATAAAAATAAAATTTCAATCTCAAAGATCGAAAGTTAAAAATAATATTGACGTAAGTAATCCCCGGCAACGGCGCCAAAAACTTGATGCGAAATCGGCAAGTATACCGATCATTCCAAGTAATAAAGTGATAAAAAGATCGTTTCCTCGAGGATTAATGCACCAATTACTATTTTAACTAGTCCCTTTAATTTGGAAAACCCAGTTCAATTGAGAAAATATTTGTTGACTGAAATTTAAAGACAGTAATAATCAAAAGCATTCAAGAAAATATCAAGAACGTCAAAGAAATATAAGTAATTAAGATTGTAAAAGAAACTGCAGTCAGGATGCACTTCACCTCTGTTTCCCCCTTATAATTCAAAACTGAATTTTATAACCAACTAATTTATTAGCTCAGACAATTCATTATTTCCTTATTGAATAGTTGAACCCTAATGTCTTAGTGTATTCAACCCTTTAACACAATTAGAATCCTAGTGTCCTAGTAATTCCTCTTGCATCAAGCATTAAGCAAATGAATTTAAAAGTCTACAATCTATGTAAGCCTGTGTCTAGATCATGCACAGATTGTTATTCTACCCTTGTCAGAATTAAAACTCCAATAATCCTATTGTGAGCTCTGTAACACCCCGTAGTACTCCGGTTGTTAACATACATGATATTTAACATTCACAGCGGAAGACTTTATTTGAAAAGGAATAAAGCGTCTTAAAAAAATACGAGTAAACTTTTTCAAAAACCTTTTCTGAAAACATTTCAAAAAAACGTTCACGTGAGATACTGCGAAAGCGTAAATCTAAACATACATCTACTAATTAATCCCATGAGCCAGTATTAGTGGCCATTGACCATCAATATATGACATCAAGTGTCATTCGTGACGGAGTCTCACGGACAACATAACGACTGTATTTCGGATAACTGGGAACCTGGTCCCACACATACAGTTAACTTGATTGATACAATAATTTAAACAGATAGCTTGCAAGTCCCACACGGACTGCAATTCCCTCAATGGGTCAATACAGCGATAAGGCTCCATGCCCAAATTAACTAAATACATGCATCAAGTCTATATTAATTCATAGTATAAAAGCATCAATAAATAATCCATGGTTCTAAGGATATAATCATGAGCCTAAATAAATACATTCGATAATCTCTATAAAATAATTCAGCATGTTAACAAGTCTACATGCCAACATCAAATAACATAATATAAAATCATCAGTTGCATCATCAAACTACTCCAATGCGGGGGCCTTGCCCCTAGAAGCATCACCACTACTCTGGGTACCTGAAATGATGTCCCCAAACGGGGTGAGATAACAACATCTCAGTAAGCTCAAGGTTCATAGAGGATCCTCTAATCCCCTGAGCCCACTTCCTGCATGACATGTCAGATATAAAGCATATAATACAAACATACAGCAAAAACATAGCATCATCATATCATCCTTGTGTAACCCCAGGGTCAAAGCCATAGACAGTTACACATGTGTGACTTCCAGGGTCAAGCCATAGACAGTCAACACAACCTCAGTATGAAATAGCTCCCAGAGTCAAGTCATAGGAAGCCTACATACCATGATCACTGGTCAGGATCCTCATAACATATATCATCAGTGCATCATCATAACATCAAGATCATATAACATCTATATGAATGTGAATGAATGCACATATACATCATACCACATACTCTCATACAATACAACCATAATGCCCACCATCATGGTGGGGCCACAAGAGAGAGGAGTCAACTAGAACTAGGAGCTTACCTCAGGGAGCTTAGCATAAGCCCACACTACAATATAATACGTATGCTCCAACAAAATTCTCAAGTGCACGGTTCTCTAAGCGCACCTAGAGTATGAACCATTCACATCATTAATTACATATTAATTAATCAAGTCATATCCACGACTTAATCATTTAATGATTTCACTTTTCATACTCATATGCCAATAATAGGCCCATTACAAGTCTAGACCAATTATTACTTATTACATATTTTAGTGCATTATTATAAGCCACCTCAATCTTCCATTACTTACATAGCTTAGAATCACTTGCAAGGCTCACTTAGGTAACTTAGATTATTTTCTACTCATCCAAGCCATATTTATAATTATTATAAGTTACTAAGGATTCCCATAAGCCCACTTAGCTTAAATATCACTTGTACAGTTTTTCCATAACTGTACATGCTTCTGTTTTCTATTCACTGTGTGTAACTCACTTGTTATAAAATTCTCATCTTTTATTATGTTAATCTAGACTCAATTAAATTTCCAACAAGGCATCACATGCCTCATTTGGAGTTTCCTAGCTCCGGTTATCACCATTTAAAGTTGGACAAGCAAAGCTGTTTGCCAACTCCGAATAGGGCCCTAAACATTCTTTACCATTTCTGCGATTCTGCAAAATATACTAAACCAATTGCTCTCAAATTTTTATACAGACAACTAGACACCTTTAGCTTTAATTCGACATATTATGAGCCTAATTTGCGTAAGCACAGAGGGAGAAACAATTCGTGAAAGTTGCAGCCATGTACAGCCCCTGCACATGGCCTCCCTAGGCAGTCCTCACTAAAACGAACATACAGAATGGGATACATCTTAAATTGGTACCAAAATTTGATACCACATAGCTAATATCTCAAGCTTCAATTTGATATAAGGAAAATCCCTATATGACCTCTGTGGAGGGAGATATGCTCTCTCTAATTTTGCCTATAAACTGATTATATAGCCCTAAATGTGTTTACTTAACAAACCTTAATTATTTTTGCTTATAAATCCTAATTCACTTTAATTCTTGGATATTTCTATTATTAAGTCACATTATGAAATCTCCTTAGTCCCATTATGTCATGATACTTAAATTTTACTAATTACTTAATTAGTGTACCTAAACCCTACTTTAGTCTAATTTTAGAGTTAAATCCTTAATTATTTTTGTTAATTAATTCCTACCCTTAATTAATCCCCTAATTCATCATCTCCTTAATTTTTAACACACCTAAACCTTTATATACTTTATGGGACAGATTTGATGAGCTATTTTAATTAGGGTTTTTAGTCATTATTAATCATGACTAATGAGTTTTACTTAGAGTTAACTCACCTAGTTAATCTTTCTAATCATTTTTCCCACTTAACAACTTTAAACACATTTTTTTGTCATCAAACCCTATCCATCCTTGACTTGGCTGAATCATACATAGTCCATATTAGGGTTCATAGTCATCTTTTTACATGAACATCACTCAAAGGTCTAAAGGTGGCACCTTTAGTCATCAAATCTATCATTCCATGGTTCAAAACACACCCATCCTTAAGGATCATCATCAAACCATGGCATTAAAAATTTTTAAACAATATTTCTCCAATACATAACAAAACCGTGACACACACACAAGAAAAAGAGAGACTTTTTGGTTCATATTTCTCAAATGGAGGCTTACATCTTCAAGCTTCCTCCTTTAGCTCAAGGCTTCACCTTTTTCCACCAAGAACCCTCCTTTAAGCAAGAACAAACCTTCATGAACATGCTCATGAGTTAGAGCTCAAGAACACAAGAGGAAAAGATGAGGTTTTTCATGAAAAAAAATCAACAGAACTTACCCAAAATCAAAGGAACCAAGTGAACAAGTGTGGTTCTTCAAGAGAGTTTAAAAACACAACTCCATGGCCATCTTTCTTCACCAAACCATGGCTGTCCAAGAAGCTAAGGCTACGAAATTTTGGCTCCACACCATAAAAATGGTATGGTGGTGAAGAGGAGAGTGAGAGGAACAACTTTGATGAAGGAGGTTTTGTGTTTTGGAGAGGTTTAGGTGATGGGATTTTAGAGAGAAGTGAGAGAGTTTTCAAAATGAAAGTTTTAGAGAGAAGGAGGGGAAGGGGCTGTTGATTCAGAATAGGCGGAAAGGGGAAGGGTGCCCTAATTAGGGGTGCCATGTCACTTTAGTGGCACTTTGTCCTTTAGTGAGACCCGGTGTAATTTTTATTTGAAACGTCGTCAAATTTTTACCCGGAAACCTCCAAGACTCTAACTTTAAGTACTTAACATTAATTTTGTCTAATTGTCATGTTCATAACTTAAAAATATTATTAGTAGATCACAGATCCACTAACAGTGTTTTAATTGTACTGTAGACTTTACCGGTGTTCTTAACTGTACCCGGATTTCATAATCTTCTTAACTTAAACATTTTTGGTCTAATTATGAATTGTTAGGCATATATTGGTCTTTATTTCCATTTTCTCATCTTTTTCCCGTTTTGGGGTTTTACCGGCTGCTGCTACAGCAGTACAAAATACCCGGTAGAAGTGACTTTTCAAAAATACCCAATATGGGTATCAATCTTCATCAAATCATATCCTAACCTCATTCATGATGTTTATATCATTAAATTAGCTCTCTAACTATAATTTGCTAACTTAGAGCTATTCTACTGACTGTTATTACGTCAGCAGTCAAATTTAACAGATGAAAATTTATCTTTGCATAATACTCTCAATATGGGTATCAAAATTCTTAGAATTTCATCCTCAATCCATTTATGACTATAAGGTCCTTATTATAACCCTCTAATTTAAACGTCATATAATTAGGGTTATTATATTCACCACACCTTTTAAAAAGATTTTGTCCTCAAAATCGGATTATACCTGATATCAAAGTCGGGATATCGCCGGAGAATATCATCCTCCCGCTCCCATGTGGCATCCTTAGGTGTCAATCCCTCCCATTGAATCTTGATCATGGGAATAACTCTATTTCGAAGCTGTTTCTCATCTCGAGCAAGAACCTTAGAAGGTCCCACAACGAACTTCAAATTCTTCTTAACCTCAATGTCATCAAGCTATACAATGTGTGAATCATCAGATATATATCTGCGGAGTTGACTCACATGGAAGACGTCATGTACATTCGCCATGTTGGGAGGTAGAGCAAGTTGATACGCCACAGGTCCGACCCTTTTTATTATCTGGTAGGGTCCAATGAACCGTGGACTCAACTTCTTCACTCCCAAGGCACGCCCAACACCTGTGGTAGGTGATAGTCGGATAAATACATGATCCCCTTCAGAGAACTCAAGGGGGTCGGTGCTTGGCATCATAATTACTCTTCTGACGGCTTTGGGCTTTCTTCAGCCTATCTCTGATCATCTCAATCTGCTCTGTAGTCTCTTGGACCAAGTCTGGCCCCATTAACTGTCTCTCTCTAATCTCCGTCCAACAAGTAGGTGCTCTACACCTACGGCCATACAAGGCCTCATAAGGAGCCATACCCAAGCTGGCATGATAACTGTTGTTGTAGGAGAACTCAACCAGTGACAGGTACTTGTCCCAAGCATTACCCTGCTCTAGCACATGCTCTCAGCATGTCCTCTAGTGTTTGAATGGTCCTCTCTTTCTAACCATCTGTCTGCGGGTGATATGCAATACTCAATCTCAATTGAGTACCAAAGGCCTCAGGTAACGCTTCCCAGAAGCGTGAAGTAAACTTCGGATCCCGATCACTAACTATGCTTTCGGGAATGCCATAAAGCTTCACAATCTCTCTGACAGATAGTCCGACTAGCTGCTCTGTGGAGAAAGTCGTCTTGACTGGAATGAAATGGGCGAATTTAGTCAACCTATCAACCATAACCCATATGGAATCAAATCCAGCCCGGCTTCTCGGTAATCCAACAACAAAGTCTATGGATATACTCGTCCACTTCCACTCCGGAATATCTGATGTATGTAACAAATCAGAAGGCTTCTGATGCTCAATTTTTACCTTCTGACAAATAAGACACTTATTCACAAACTGGGCTATATCTTTCTTCACCCCTGACCACCAAAAATTCCGTTTCAAATCTTGATACATCTTGGTTGCACCTGGGTGAATGGTGTACTTACCTATATGGCCCTCTGTTAGCACTTCTTCCATCATTGGCCCCTTTGGGACAATTAACCGATCTTTGTCGTATTTCACATTAGAAGCATCAGTAAACACAAAATCTTGCCCTCTCATCATTTGAATCCCTTAATGAATCCCTATCAAGCACTTGGGCCGCTTTAACTCTCTCCATTAATGAATTTCGGACTTCAATCGTAGTCATGAAATATGAAGTCTCTAATCGTGTCACAGAAATTCTCAAATCTCTGAACTCCTCAATCAAATCATACTCTGCAATCATCATGCTAACCACACCCGTGGTATTTTTGCTCAAGGCATCAGCCACTACATTCGCCTTTCCAGGGTGATACTGAAGGTCAAACTCATAATCCTTCAGGAATTCCATCCATCTCCTTTGTTTCATATTAAGCTCTTTTTGATCGAATAGATACTTCAAGCTTTTGTGATCACTAAAAACGGTGAAGGTAGCACCATACAAGAAGTGCCTCCATATCTTCAAGGCGAAAACCACAGCCGCTAACTCAAGATCATGAGTAAGGTAGTTCTCTTCATGTGGTCTCAACTTTCTAGAAGCATAGGCCACTACCTTTCGCTCCTGCATCAACACACACCCTAATCCATACTTAGATACATCACAATAGATCTCAAATCTCTTCTCTGGATCAGGAAGAATCAGAACCAGTGCGGTAGTCAACTTATCTTTTAATTTTTGAAAACTCACATCACACCCAAGGGTCCATGCAAATGGCACCCCTTTTTGGGTCAACCTAGTCAATGGCAAGGCGATTCTGGAGAATCCATTAATAAACCGCCTGTAGTATCCTGCTAAACCCAGAAATCTCCAGATTTCAGTAACACTCTTGGGTCTCTCCCAATCAAGCACCGCTTCAATTTTACTCGGATCAACAGCCACTCCTGTAGATGAGATGACGTGTCCAAGAAATTGGATCTCATGTAACCAAAACTCACACTTGGATGGTTTGGCATATAACTGATGCTCCCTTAAAATCTGTAAGACTATCTTCAAATGCTCTGCGTGCTCTTCTTTACTCTTGGAGTAGATCAGAATATCATCAATAAATACCACAACAAACTGATCTAAATGTGGTTTAAAGATTTGGTTTATATAACTCATGAACACGACCGGGGCATTAGTAAGCCCAAATGGGATCACTAGATACTCATAGTGCCCATATTTGGATCGGAAAGCCGTCTTCGGAATATCCTCTGCCTTTACCCAGATCTGGTGATATCCGAAACGAAGATCAATCTTCGAAAATACTAAGCACCTTTAAGCTGATCCAACAAATCATCATTGCGAGTATAGGGTACTTGTTCTTCACAGTCACCTCGTTCAATTGCCGGTAATCCGTGCACAACCTTATAGTTTCATTTTTCTTCTTCATAAAGATAACTGGTGCAACCTAAGGAGATACACTCGGTCTAATGAACTTCTTACTAGATAATTCTTCAATTTTCTTCTTTAACTCTACAAGTTCCACGGGTGACATCCGGTATGGAGCCAAAAAGATAGGCCCCACACCTGACACTAGGTCGATGGAATTTCAATCTCCCTTTATGGTGGAAACTGTGGAATCTCTTTTGGAAATACATCATCAAAGTCACATAAAATCGGGATACTAGAAGTTGGCTCCTTAGAGACACCAACCAATCCTCCTAACATGATATATCCTGCATCTCCCGCATTTAGAGCCTTAATCATCTGCAACACTAATAAATATGGGGAGTCCTTATTCTCATTCTTTGTAGAGAAATAATTCTTCTTGCTACAACAATCAATCATAACTCCATGTCTGACTAGCCAATCTATGCCTAGAATGATGTGCAGATTCATACCCTCAAGCACAATCAGATCAACCACATATTCCTTATCTTCATAACTGAACTTGACTTCTTTACACATCAAATAAATGGAAACCAAATCTCCGGTTGCAATCTTTGCTGCCCTAGGAGGCATAAATGCATACATAGGCAAGTTCAAACCATTCGACACAAAACTCGAAGTAAAGGAGTAGGTGGCTCCTGAGTCAAACATGGCATCAAAAGCATATCCTCTAATAAGAATAGTACCTCTGATAAGGTTTGGAGACCTCTCTGCCTCCTACTGTGTCACTGCATATATCCTGGCACTAGTGGGCGCTATAGGCTCCTCTATGGCTCTCTGAGTAGGCACAGACTGAATGGGAAACGCCTGAAAGACTGCAACTTGCCCCGCCTTCTTGGGGCACTCCCTGGAATAGTGTCCTGCCTGATCACAACTGAAGCAAACATTCTGCCCCAGTCTACAAACACTTGGATGTGTCTTCCCACACTTCGCACAACTGGTGATCTTCCCTGCTCCAGGCTTGTCGCTTCCATTCTTTACAAAGGGAGTCTTCTTAAACTTGTTACTCTGCTGTACTTGCAAACCTTTGCTCTTCCTATTCCAGGGAGTACTCTTCCTATGGAGACTCTTGCCTGAAGTATCCTTACCTCGTTTCCTATAATACTCTTGTATCTCCTACTGTGGTGATGGTGGTGGTGGAGCTAGTGGAGGTGGTGGAGGTCCTGCTCGAACCTCAGCCAATAATAGTCTCATCATCACCACGTTCGCCATTCTGTTCTGAGCCACGAGATCCTCACTGGTCTTCCTCATGTACTCCATGTCTCTCTCTCTGGCCTCAGCCAACCTTTGCAGATCATCTTCCCTGGCAGTATTCAAGGTCTGCTAAAGAGCTGCTAAAGTAGCTGTTACGGGATCTAGTGTTGGATCCTCAACTACCCGACGGGTCCTCCTTTGAGGAACCATGATAATTTCACACAACTACACCCGGAATGAGTTAGCTACGCTCATACAAGTGATGACATATGCATTATCAAAGAACTCAAAGAAACACTCTATAGGTAGTTAACACTTAAGCAATAAATCAGTGAACGTCCCGGTGAAACTGCTCTGATACCATAAATGTAGCACCCCGTAGTACTCCGGTTGTTAACATACATGATATTTAACATTCACAGCGGAAGACTTTATTTGAAAAGGAATAAAGTGTCTTATAAAAATACGAGTAAACTTTTTCAAAAACCTTTTCTGAAAACATTTCAAAAAAATGTTCACGTGAGATACTACGAAAGCATAAATCTAAACATACATCTTCTAATTAATCCCATGAGCCAGTATTAGTGGCCATTGACCATCAAGATATGACATCAAGTGTCATTCTTGACGGAGTCTCACGGACAACATAACGGTTGTATTTCGGATAACTGGGAACCTGGTCCCACACATACAGTTAACCTGATTGATACAATAATTTAAACAGATAGCTTGCAAGTCCCACACAGACTGCAATCCCCTCAATGGGTCAATACATTGATAAGGCTCCATGCCCAAATTAACTAAATACTTGCATCAAGTCTATATTAATTCAAAGTATAAAAGCATCAATAAATAATCCATGGTTCTAAGGATACAATTATGAGCCTAAATAAATACATTCAATAATCTCTATAAAATAATTCAGCATGTTAACAAGTCTACATGCCAACATCAAATAACGTAATATAAAATCATCAGCTGCATCATCAAACTACTCCAATGCGGGGGCCTTGCCCTTAGAAGCATCACCACTACTCTGGGTACCTGAAATGATGTCCCCAAACGGGGTGAGATAACAACATCTCAGTAAGCTCAAGGTTCATAGAGGATCCTCTAATCCCCTGAGCCCACTTCCTGCATGAAAAGTCAGATATAAAGTATATAATACAAACATACAGCAAAAACATAGCATCATCATATCATCCTTGTGCAACCCCAGGGTCTAAGCCATAAACAGTCAACACAACCTCAGTATGAAATAGCTCCCAGAGTCAAGTCATAGGCAGCCTACATACCATGATCACTAGCCAGGATCCTCATAACATATATCATCGGTGCATCATCATAACATCAAGATCATATAACATCTATATGAATGTGAATGAATGCACATATACATCATACCACATACTCTTATACAATAAAACCATAATGACCACCATCATGGTGGGGCCACAAGAGAGATGAGTCAACTAGAACTAGGAGCTTACCTTAGGGAGCTTAGCACAAGCCCACACTCCAATATAATACGTATGCTCCAACAAAGTCCTCAAGTGCACGGTTCTCTAAGCACACCTAGAGTAGGAACTATTCACATCATTAATTACATATTAAGTAATCAAGTCATATCCACGACTTAAACATTTAATGATTCCATTTTCTATGCCAATAGTATGCCCATTATAAGTCTAGACCAATTATTACTTATTACATATTTTAATGCATTATTACAAGCCATCTTATTCTTCAGTTACTTACATAGCTTAGAATCACATGTAAGGCTCACTTAGGTAACTTAGATTATTTTCAACTCATCCAAGCCATATATATGATTATTATAAGTTACTAAGGGTTCCCATAAGCCCACTTAGCTTAAATATCACTTTTACGGTTTTCCCAAAACTGTACATGCTTCTGTTTTCTAGTCACTTAGCCCAACTCACTTGTTATAAAATTCTCATATTTTAGTATGTCAATCTAGACTCAATTACCTTTCTAACAAGGTATCACATGCCTCATTTGGAGTTTCCTAGATCCGGTTATCACCATTTGAAGTTGGACAAGCAAAGTTGTTTGCCAACTCCGAACAGTGCCCTAAACATCCTTTACCATTTCTGAGATTCTGGAAAATATACTAAACCAATTTCTCTCAAATTTGTATGAATACAACTAGAAACCTTTAGCTTTAAGTTTACATATTATGAGCCTAATTTGACTACGCACAGAGGGAGAAACAATTCATGGAAGTTGCAGCCATGTACAACCCCTGCACATGTCCTCCCTGGGCAGTCGTCACTCAAACGAACATACAGAATGGAATACATCTTCAATTGGTACCAAATTGTGACACCAAATATCTAACATATCAAGCTTCAATTTGATATAAGGAACAGCCCTATATGACCTCTGTGGAGGGAGATATGCTCTCCCTACTCTCGCCTAAAAACTGATTATATAGCCCCAAATGTGTTTACTTAACAAACCTTAATTATTTTTTATTATAAATCCTAATTCCCTTAATTCTTGGATTTTTCTATTATTAAGTCACATTATGAAATATCCTTAGTCCCATTATGTCATGATACTTAAATTTTACTAATTATTTAATTAGTGCACCTAAACCCTACTTTAGTCCAATTTTAGAGTTAGATCCTTAATTACTTTTGTTAATTAATCCCTACCCTTAATTTATCATCTCCTTAATTTTAACACAATTAAACCCTTATATACTTTATGGGGCAGATTTGATGAGCTATTTTAATTAGGATTTTTAGCCATTATTAATCATGATTAGTGAGTTTTACTTAGAGTTAACTCACCTAGTTAATCTTTCTAATCATTTTTCCACACTTAACAACTTAATCACATTTTTTTGTCATCAAACCTTATTATTACATGACATGGCCGAAATCATCAAGGGTCCATATAGGGTTCATGTTCATCTTTTTACATGAACAACACACAAAGGTCTAAAGGTGGCACCTTTACTCATCAAATCCATGATTCCATGGTTCAACACACACACACCCTTAAAGATATTCATCAAACCATTACTTTACAAAATTTTAAACAACATTCTTCTCATGAACATATCAAAACCGAGGCACTCAACAAGAAAAAGGGAGGCTTTTTGGTTCATATTTCCCAAATGGGAGCTTACATCTTCAAGGTTCCTCCTTTAGCTCAAGTCTCCACTTTTTTCTACCAAGAATCCTCCTTTAAGAAAGAACAAACCTTCATGAACATGCTCATGAGTTAGAGCTCAAGAACAAGAGGAAAAGATGAGGTTTTTCATGAAAAATATCAAGAGAACTTACCCAAAATCAAAGGAATCAAGTGAACAAGTTTGGTTCTTCAAGAGAGTTTAAAAACACAACTCCATGACCATCTTTCTTCACTAAACCAGGCTGTCCAAGAAGCTAAGGCTACGAAATTTTGGCTCCACATCATAAAAATGGTATGGTGGTGAAGAGGAGAGTGAGAGGAACAACTTTGATGAAGGAGGTTTTGTGTTTTGGAGAGATTTAGGTGATAGGATCTTAGAGAAAAGTGAGAGAGTTTTTAAAATTTGAAATTTAGAGAGAGAATGAGTGAAGGGGCTGCTGATCAGAAATGGAAGGGAAAGAGAGGAGGGTGCCCTAATGAGGGGCGCCATATCACTAAGTGACCATTCATCCTTTAGTGAGATCCAGTGTAGTTTTTATCTGAACCTTCATTAAATTTTTTACTCGGAAATCTCCAAGACTCTAACTTTAAGTACTTAACATTAATTTTGTCTAATTATCATGTCCATAACTTAAAAATTTGATTAGTGGATCACAGATCCATTAACAGTGTTTTAATTGCACTATAGACTTTATCGGTGTTCTTAACTGTACCCAGATTTCATAATCTTCTTAACTTTAACATTATTGGTCTAATTATGAATTGTTAGGCATATATTGGTCTTTATTTCCATTTTCTCATCTTTTTCCCATTCTGAGATTCTACCGGCTGCTGCTACAATAGTACAAAATACCCGGCAGAAGTGACTTTTGCAAAATACCCCAATATGGGTATCAAACTTCATCAAATCATATACTAATCTCATTCATGATGTTTTTATCATTAGATTAGCTCTCTAACTATAATTTGCTCTCTTGAAGCTATTCTACTGACTGTTACTGCGTCAGCAGTCAAAAATAACAGATAAAAACTCAACTGTTCAGAATACCCTCAATATAAGTATCAAACTTCATCAAATCTTATGCTTACATCATTTATGATATTCATATCATTAGGATAGCTCTCTAACTTAAATTCATTGTACTAGAGTTATTCTATAGTCTATTATTGCATCAGCAGTCAAACACAACAGATGAAAATTCACCTGAATGGAATACCCTTAATATGGGTATCCAAATTCTTAGAATTTCATTCTCATTTTATTTATGACCATAAGGTCCTCATCATAACCC